AAATTTGACTCTGTCACTTTGTCTCAATTTAAAACCAGTTAAGATCTTAAGGGCTGCCAGCAGATAGTGTGGTGGTTAAGGTGCTGGGCTCCACATGACTGATGGCAGTTTGAGTCCCAGACCTAGTGGCTTGAAAATCACACCAGGTGCATGTGTGTGTTCATACCCAGAATCCTGAGAAGACAATGGAGAAGGGACTGTGGCACGGCCACCCCCCTGGGGGGAGGGGGGTTCTCCCTTTCCCTCTCACTGTCTATCTCTCTCTCTCTCCAGTGAGTGTATATGCCTGATGGCAATCCCTCCCTCCACCCCCAAAATCCTTTGGGCTCCAAAGAGAAACATTTCTTGATAAAAATAATCTGCCTTTTGCTTTTTTTTGGAGAGGTTTTTGCTATAGGGTATGTGCACGTGCCAGACAGAGAGAGACAGAGAGAGAGACAGAAAGCGAGAAATCACCCCCCAGGGGGGATGGCCATGCTGCAATCCCTTATCCTCCATTCTCCTCTCGGGATCTTGGGCACACACGCACACACGCCTGGCGTGAGTTTTAAGCCACCGGGTCCGGGACTCGAACCGTGGTCAACAACATGGGAGTTCAGCGACATAGCCATTATGCTAACTGCTGGTCCCTCTGCTTTTTGCTTTTTAGGAAAGTATAGATTATGTTACTGTAAGTTACATGGCAGGAAAATAGATTATTTTTCCATACCCTTGTGGTTAACATCAAAGGATAAAGTCAAAGATCAGCTGATTTGAGAACATAAAGTGTAACCCTTGTTTCCAATTTGAGAAAATAAAGTGTAATCCTTGTTTCACTGTGATAGTCTCAGGGTTAGGGTATTGCAGTCATTAATACAAACACAGAGTCAAGAATGCACATCCCATTTTAGGGGTCTAGTGAGAACAGAGGCAGTATGGAGTGCTATCGTTGGCTTAAAAACCCTAACAGGACATGTGTTCTATAGCATTACTCTTCACGAACTAGGCCATTGACTTATCTTTCTACTCAACATAAAATGTACATGGTTCTCAATGTTATCTAAAATAAAACTCTGGGCTCAGAAGAGCCTTTCTTAGACTATGACTTCTGAATGCAGAACCTCACTGCTTTGTTCTATGCCCTCTCCCTAATTTGTACCCCTGAATTTCAGAAAAGTCTATTGATGTGTAACTAATGTTTTTTTTCTTTCTTTCTTTTTTTTGATGACGTTTTTGCTATAGGGTGCATGCGCTCGCCAGAAAGACAGAGAGAAAGAGAGACAGAAAGCGAGAAATCACCCCCAATGGGGGATGGCCATGCCACAATCCCTTCTCCTCCATTCTCCTCTCAGGATCTTGGGCACGCACGCAGATATCCCCGGCGTCAGTTTAAGCCACCAGGTCTAGGACTTGAACCGCGGTCGACTACACGGGAGTCCAGTGACATAGCCATTATGCTAACTGCTGGGCTGGTGCACTGCGTCCTCACGGGCACTCGTACTGCCAGCTCCGTGTTCCGTCTGCTGGCTGAGGGCTGCCGACAGACACCGCGCTCATCCTGACCACTTAGGGAGCCATTCTTGTGTGTGTGCCACTTTGATTCAGAAAGTGAATGTGAAGAGAATTTTTTTTTTTTTCAAAATAAATCTGCCTTTTGCGTTTTAAAATTATGGCAGTTAAAGAACAAAAGGCATAAGATTCTACTTATCAGCCATGAATACCCATGACTTATCTCTTCCTCTATGTATTTAAACGCAAAGATGTGAAAATCTTGTACTACACAAAACCAACATTAATAAAAGTGGCTATTTAACAACAACAAAGATTGCAGATTTATACGAGTGGAGATAAGCTAAATTCCAGCAACATTTCGTAAAGATCTACTATGGCATAAAGGGTATTTAAGCATGCTATTTCCTGTGCATTAAAAAAAAAATAAATCCCCTCATGATTTCAACAAATTTCTACTTCCGTGGCTACGTCTGAACCTCATGAAAAAACTCCAAGTATTTGGATTTCTTTTACATAAGCTTAATTTCTTTCCCCTTCTAAAACGACTTTTCTCATTAAAGTGAGAAGACACAGCTGTTTTCAAAGTCATCGTTTCCTCATATTTCATTCAGAAGTTACCCTAACTCCTGGCGGAAAGTCGGTTTCCACTTCAGACAATGGGAACTGGGAACATTTCCTAATCTCCCTAAGACCACATTTGTAAAACTACTCTTCACTTCACCCTTTGTCAACCTTTGAAAACTTAGAATGATTGAGGCTGGGACATAGATTACTGTAATAAAATTTAATAGCAGCTTAGCATACCTTTAGAATATATTTTTAAGGAGGATGTGCATTTTACAGCAATTACACATGAGAACTGAATACACACAGATGAAGCTGTGCAGTTATTTTAAACAATACAGCTCTTCTCTATGAAGACACTTCTTGCTCTTGGCCTGTCTTACTTTTCAATCAGGAAATTGTGACCTTGCAATCAGGAACAATTTGGCAACATGGACTCAAACATCAAAGATGTGTTCTACTAGAGAACAGAGAATGCAAGTGCTTCCATAATCAAATACCTTCCAATTCACAAGTATTCCACAGAGAAGGACGAGGGCTCTTTCCCATGGGTAGCTTATCATCTTGGTTAAGATGCTCGGTCCCACATGAATGACTGGTTATAGTCTCAGACCCAGTAGCTTGAAAAACTTGCCAAGTCAATGTGCACGCTCAAAATCCCAAGATGAGAATGAAGGAGAAGGGATTGTGGTGTGGCCATCTCCATGGAGGGGTGAGTTCTCACTTTCCTTCTCTCTCTCTGTCTGTCTCAGTGTATTCACTCTGTGGCAAATTAAAAAGAAAAAAACTACAGAACAAAAGATTTGGGTTCAACCAAAGCAGACGCTTAGTGAATCACTTGTCACCAAAGTATTCAAGCAAAGCTGGAAAGTAACATAACACAGATGTGGTGTGGTGGGGGGCTGGCAAGTGGCGTGGTGGTTAAGGGTGCTGGACTCCCACATGGCTGACTGTAGTTTGAGTCCTGGACCTGGTGGCTTGCTTTCTCACTTTCTCCCTCTCTCTCTGTCCCTCTCTGGTCAAATTTAAATAAATAAGTAAAATTTAAAAAAATGTGGTGTGGTGGAGGGGGGTTGGTGTCACCAACCCATAAGGTCCTTTGAATAATATGCAGATCTAATGTGGAAAAGTATTATTGGACAATAATGAATTTAACTCTTGAACAAAACACTGCATTTAGAAATATTTCTACCAGTTTTCTTTAGCAGATCAGCTGAAGGTGGAAACCCAGAAGTAAGCAGAGCACGGTGGAGCTCCCCCACTTGGGGGCTGGAATGCATGTAGTATCATATGACAAGCTGGGATGGATGGGGGCTGTGTCACTCAAAGTACTGCCAGAAAACATGCTCCAACACCTCCACTGCTGAGGGCTGATCCAACACAAGACAGTGTCACTTAAAGACGCTGCCTAAAGACATAGCATTTCCAGCTGGTAGTTGCACAATCAAATCACCCTAATTCGTCTTGAGACTGTTTAACATGGAAGAAGGCCCTTAAGGGCAGAGGGGGAAGTAAAGCGTCACACACCACGTTCCATTCCTCTGAATGCTTCAAGACTAGGACTGATCAGACCTGGGCCTGTCTTTGTCATGTAACCTATCCTTGTAAAGTGCACAATGCTTCATTCATTTTGTTCTTTCTGTGGTACTAATATCACTGTGACCTGCCACAAGACGATGCCCACAACTCCTGGGTTCACAGATGTAATAACTGAACCACTATACATTTTGGCTAATGTGGGAAAGATGGCAGTTTGGTCTAAATGTCACTGGATTAATGTAAAGTCTACTCATACAGACAAATCAAATACACTATTAAAGTGCTTGGTAATTAATTTTCAAATGAGTCCTTACCAAAATGTAAATGTTCATGTTTAGTTCCTGGATCCCAAATGAGATAGCTCTATTAAAATTAGGGCAATTCCTGGGGCCAGCAGGTGGTGTGGTGGTTAAGGGCATTGGGCTCTCACACGACTGACCATGGTTTGAGCCCTGGACCTGGCAGCTTGCTTTCTTGCTTTCTCTCTCTTTTATCAAAAATGAAATAAAATAAATAAATAAAATAAAAGATAATCCTTTTAAAAAGTTAGGGCAATTCCTAGTATTTATGTTGAGCAATCAAAAGTCTTGATTAGTTCCAGCCACAGTGGCATAGGTGATAGGGAGCTGCTGCACAATGTTAGAGAATATGGGAGGCTCCAGGTTCAAATCGCAGGCCAACCTGAACATGCTGGCTGAAAGCTGGAGGGAAAGGGTAGACCGTGGTATGGTGAGACCCTGTTAAGGGTACTACCAGCCAGATAGACCAGGAACACAGATATCACATAAATATGCCTACCCAGAATGAGAACTTCCAGGTAATCCAAACTTGACATCTTCAGTTCACTGCCATGGAGGGTAGAAAGAGACATGATTTTTTTTTTTTTTTTTTTCTTTTCTTTTTTCTTGGAGAGGTTTTTACTATAGGGCGCATGCACTAGCTAGACAGACAGAGAGACAGAGAGACAGAAAGCGAGAAATCACCCCCCAGGGGAATGGTCATGCCACAATCCCTTCTCCTCCATTCTCCTCTCGGGATCTTGGGCATGCATGCACATGTGCCTGGCGTGAGTTTAAGTTGCTGGGTCTGGGACTCGAACTGCGGTCGACTACATGGGAGTCCAGCGACATAGCCATTACACCAACTGCTGGTCCCGAGACATGATTATTTTTCAAGCTGAGTATAAATGTAAAAAAGCTATACTTTCTAAAAATATGAACGCCAATTATCAGCCAATCAAATAATCTAATGCACTCATTAGATTTGTGAGTTTTTCACTGTTCATATGAAATATAAAAATAGTCCATAATTTTTAAAACTAAAACACACTTGTTCCTGTATTTTTGAGCTCTCTTTCAAAACTCCTAGCTTTTACTTCTATTTCAAAAGAATGACTGAGGCACTGGTTCTGAATTTAATGTTATATTTATTATAGTGTTTTTATCAACAAACTTTCACCAGAAAGTTCTGAGTGTGTTAATACAGCAGGCACATTGGCTTTAATGTTTGGCATTTGACAGTCCACAGAATTGCACTTCACTCTCACAATTCTGCCACAACTTTGTGGATTGTTTGGGCAGGACCTGTAGCCAGCCTCCCCCATGAAATGGTTAAATATAAATTTTGGTTCACTCTGATTTAAACGCTCTGAGTTCATGATTACATCAGTCTGTGCCAGGCTTGGCTCCCCTTTCTGCTCTGCCTTGCTGATCGGAGTCAGTGACCTAGAGACCTTGCTTTCTGTCCCTTCACTGCCCTCCACGTTTCCAGCGTCTCTATGTGTACAGAGTTCCCTGTGGTCAGTCTCAGGATCGCAACACGCTTTTAGTAAGGACCCGGTGCTTCTGCAGGCAAATGATGATGGCTCTGCCATCTTTGGAAGATGCTCTTCTTGGCTCTGATGACTGTGTACACTGGTCTTACCAATTTTTTCTTGGACTTGAATGTGCTGCACTGGGTGGAGGAAAAAATTCTGAGGCAGAGAATTCTGTACTCCAGGTGGCTTCATCCTACCCTGAAGGCAAGAACAGTGGTGGATGTGCGGAATGGGATGCATGAAGCTCTCAGTGGCTGGGTGTGCAGCATTCAGAGGAGCCATCCCATTTTGGATCTGGACAAAGCTGCTGGCAGTAGGAGCACATTGGTGGCACAAGCAGTCACCCAGCTGCTGGCAGGAGTGTGGGCCGTATTTCAAATGCTGGTAGGCATTTGGGCAGCTACATCTCTGATTCAGAGAGAAGAAGTGGCACATGGTATGCTGTTCAAGAGAGGGCTGAAGCAAGGCAGAGCTAGCTTCATTTCTGCTGCTCTTGGTGAGCTCGCTGTTGTGAGCTGTGTGCACAGGCATCCCTACATTCTTTGCTTGGCTGTTGAAAAATTCAGAACAGATGTGGGTCTCTTCATAAGTGGCCTTCTCAGAGGCAGGATGGCTGTGGGATGCCAGAGGTTCTAACTCATAAAATTCGTGCTCCAGTTCAGATTTTTGGCCCCTGGGATCTAAATGATAAGCATTCACTGGGTGTGTTTTGCTTTGTCCCTTGTCACCAGGACTTGTAGACGAGGCATGGGAAAAGGCACTGCACTGTAGTTTTTTAGGTAAAGGAATCTGACCACAGGTACCCTGCGGTCCAAGGCACCGACACATGCACTGGAAGAAGAAGGTGGCAAAAGCCCAACTGACACACATGATGAGCATCATGAAGGTGCCCAGCTGGGTGTATGCGAGAACTGTGGAGGGCATCATCATGGCCCCAGCCACAAAAGTGGTCAGAGCGGCCATGGCCATCGCAGAGCCCATGCGACTCAGAGAGAAGATCACCTTGCCTTCTCGGTCGGGATCTGGAGCCAAGCGGTAGGCGACCCCATAATGGACGGCAAAGTCCACGGACAAGCCAACTGCGACCGAAATCGTGACAGACTCCAAGACATTTAGCTCCCAGCCCAGCAGGACAAGAGAACCAACGGTGACAAATATTGTTCCGGCTATTGAAATGATGGCATACAGGCTTATGATGACGTTCCAGGTTGTCAGCAGCATCACGCTGAAGGCGACAGCCACGGAGAGCCCCATAGCAATGAGGGTGCCATCGGAGAGGCTATCTTGGAGGTCATAGAACTCCAGGTTGCTCACAAACCAGCCGTTGCTGAGGCCCTCAGGTGCAGAACTCAGCTCGTTGGAAATCCACGAGTCCACCTCTTTATAAAACTGATGCATCTTTTCATAAGCCAGTGTGAAGAGGTAGGTACTTTGGAATTCTAGCACTACCGCCCGGATGGTATCGTTGATATCAAACCTTGGCCCTGGAGTTTTGCTATCTAGATGGTACCCTGTGCTCCTCTCCAGCTCCATAATAGCTCTCTTGATGCATAGTTCAAAAATCTCTTGCTTATAGGGGAAGCTCCAGTGGCTGCAGCATGGGTACAGGGCAGGCTCATCACAGTCCTGGTTTTCCATCCACTGTTTGAATGTCTCAATGAAGCAGCTGGTAAAGTCCTGCTCATCAGTCTGGTAAAAGAACGTTTGGTTCCTCAGTTTTTGACAAAAGTGCAAAATCCAGGCCTGGGAAGCCGGGCTCGCAATGTTAAAACTGCTATCTAGTGTCAACTTCCCTTTACTCTTGGGATTCAGTGGGTTGCCGTTGTCTTCTGGGGACACGCCCCAGATGACTGTGATGGGCATGTGCAGCTCCTCTCCATGGTGAACACGTTCAAACATGAAAAGCTTTTTGTACTCAGCATCGTAACGTTCAAACGGGTGAGATGACCTGAACACTTGGAACTCAGATAACTCCAGGGAGGGCAGTTTCATCTTTGGATTTATACACACAATGTAGGCCCCACCTACAGTTAAGGCAAGGAACCAGAACAGCCAAAGGTAGCGGAACTTGATGACAATGCATGGCAATACTTTTTCAAAAAAAATGCGAGACGCTTCTGAAATGGCAAAAAGTATTTTGTGGCACTTCTGGCAAGCCACTGTCCAGCAGTTTTTGTTATCGTATATTTGCTGCTGGGGCTTTTTGAAGCAACTGAATATATTGAGAAGATAGCGCTCATGCAGTACAACAACTGCTGGGAGCCAGGTGACCATCAAAACATAGTTGACCAGTATAGCTGTCCCCGCATAAACCCCGAAGCATCGGATTGCTGTAATGTTGCTCACGTAGTTAGCGTAGAAGGCAGCAGCAGTGGTGAAACTGGTCACGAACATGGAGAGGGCGGCATGTTGCAAAGTGATGCTTACTGTTTCCGTGGTTTCGGCCTGAGGCTTGTCAAATTTTGTGTAGTTCCAAACATCACACAGGACAAAAGCATCATCTGCTCCAATTCCGACCAAAATAATGAGTGCCGTGAGGTTCATGAAAGGAAAAAACTCAAAGTTAAATACTACACGATAAAGAAAATAGGAGACAATCAAGGAACTGATTATGGCGAACATCGTCATCAGAGTGATAAACATGGACTTGGTATAGACACACATGACTAAAAGGACAATCACAATGGCTATGGCAGGATACACGGTATCCATTAGAAGATAATCTTGAAATAAACTATGTTTGATACCAAATTCAATCCCGGTGATGGTAGTCACGCCGTCAGAGGAATTCCAGTTCTCAAAGTTGTCCAAGTAAATGTTCATCATGCTCTCCCCTTTCTCTGTGGGAGAGAAGAGCATGCTGTATTTTAACGCCGGCACGGCATAGTCAGCTGTCTTTGGGGTCATGAAGTCTTTGTCCACCAAGTAGTGGAGGATCTGGTAGACGGCGTTGTACTTGGTACACTTGCGTGGCACGTTGGTGCACTTCAGCTGATCCTTTCTTCTGGCTGCCATGTCCCAGCAGTCTGGCCCCAGGGTGCCATTCTGGTAGTGTTTGGCACAGGTCCGAAGCAGCTTCAAGGTATGAGAAACATCTCGCTCAACGATCTTCTGGCAGGATGATCTATTATTCAGAATGGCAATATAGTTTCCCAGTGTCCAGCTGGGACAACAGGAAGCAGCGGTGGTCCTCTGGCAGAGATCGCCAAACTGGGGATGAGATCTGATCTGCAGGGATAAAGACACACAGAAGGACTGATGTTTACAATGGTTCACAATCGGAAAGGACTGAATCGAAGTAGCCTTGAGAGACAGGGAGAGTTAAAGACGTTAAACAGTCATTCTGTTAAATTTGGTATCAGTTTGAATATAAAATGAGATTTCCCCATAAAACTAACTCATATCACACAGGACTCTCTGAGATACTTTATTCTGAACAACAAACTACTATTTGGGGATGACATATAAGTGTGAAACAATTCCAACCAATGCTAGTTGGTTTAAGAAAGGAGATAAAATTAATACCTATTTAGTAAATAAAGCCTTTCAAAGTCACTTTAAAAAGCAATAAAGTGGATAGGTTGTAAAGCTTTTGTATACAGCCCTATGGGATTACTTAAGAAAAGAATTGCCCAACTGACATATGAAACACATTTGTAGCTTTGCTTAAGATTTCTAGTTATCAGCAGGCAAGTTTTTAGTGACTTAAGTACTAGATCGCAATGAACACAGTTGGAAGCAAAGATGATAGTCCCTAGAAAATTGCTATGGTCTGAAAGTTTGTGTTCCTTCAAAATTAATAAGTTAAAACTCAATTCCCAATGTTACAGTATTAAGAGGTGGGATCTTTTGGGAGGTGATTAAGTCACAAGAAAGAGATTCTTCTGGGATAAATAGCCTTATAAAAGAGGCTCAAGGGAGCTTGTTTGTCCTTTTGGTAGATAAGGATTCAAAGAAAGTGCCATTTATGAGAGAAAGACCCTCACCAGATAATGAATCTGCTGGCTCCTTGGTCTTGGACTTCTCAGCCTTCAGAAATGTAAGAAACAAATGTGTGTTCTTTACAAACTATATAGTCTACAGTATTTTGTGATAGCAGCCGAAAGAGACTAAGACCAAAACTGTCCAGTGGTATTAAAGCACTGAGATCAAGAAGTATGAAAGAGCTGGAATAAAATTGTTTCATAAAATATAATGAGAAGAGGGCAATACTGCTCGATTAAAGTATGATTTATATCTGATTTAAATAAATACATACAATTGGTCAAATAAGTGTTTAGGTAGGAATTTCATCATTTCATCCACAAAGTTTATTCGAGTTAGTTAAAAATCTAAATTTCTCTCTTGGTATACATATTAGCAAGTCTGATAATTCTGGATTTAATGCAGAATTATTTCATTTAGAACACTATTCCTGGGGACCAGCAGTTAGCGTAATGACTATGTTGCTGGACTCCCAACGTAGTCAACCGCAGTTGGAGTCCCGTACCGGTGGCTTAAACTCACGCCGGGCGCGTGTGCGTGCGTGCCCAAGATCCCGAGAGGAGAATGGAGGAGAAGGGATTGTGGCATTGCCATCCCCCCTGGGGGGTGATTTCTTGCTTTCTGTCGCTCTCTCTCTCTGGTGACTGTATGCGCCCTATAGCAAAAACCTCTCCAAAAAAACCCACTATTCCTGGAGCAGGCTTTTTTAAAATGGCTGTTCTTTATACAAGATTTTTAAATTGTTCCATTACTGGAATTACTAGATTATGGTGAAAGTTGCACAATTTCCTTCTGGAAATGAGGTAAGTGGCCCATCTTCCTTGAGAGTGAGAATAAATAATATTTCCCTGTTGAGCCTGACCATAACTTTCCTTTAGAAGTACTAGAGCTAAAGATGACTTAGTCCTTCCCCCATCTCTTATTTACCAAAGGCTGTTCCAGGGAAGAAACTCCAAAGTTCAAGAAGGGTGTAACTTATTTTTTTCTAGGATTAAGAACACCCTTTACCTCGATTAAACTAGGCTTTATCAATCACGCATCAAAATGTCCTCTCAGAGTAGAAGAAAAGTTGGCATAAATTATCTCTTTGGAACTTGGGCTTACTCAATAACTAAGTTACTTGTGACCCACTAAAGCTCTATTAAGATATCCTGCTGGGACTAATCCTGAGGGAGTGGGTGTAGATAAAACAAAATTGGCCACGTGTTGGGAACTGTTGAAGATGGGTAACCTGCCCATGGGGAATCATTATACTATTTTTAAAAATTTTGTGTATGTTGGGGCTGGCAAGTGGCGTGGTGGTTAAGAGCGCTGGACTCCCACATGGCCGATCATGGTTCAAGTTCCAGACCTGGTGGCTTGAATTCTCACTTTCTCTCTCTTGCTCATTCTGTTCTTCTCTGGTAAAACTTAAATAAATAAGTAAATAAAGTTTAAAAAAAAAGAAAAAAAAATCGTATATGCTGGTACATTTCCATAATAAAAAGTGGCTTTTTATAGACATTCTATTGGGGGTAAAAAAAATTAACCCAAAGAGTTTTTATTCAATGTACTTAAAAGAATGTTTAAAAAAAGACTTCTCTTTTTATTTATTTATTTTTTTTGAGAGGTTTTTGCTATAGGGTGTGTGCGCTCACCAGAAAGATAGAGACAGACAGAGAGACAGAAAGTGAGAAATCACCCCCCAGGGGAGATGGCCATGCTGCAATTTCTTCTCCATTCTCCTCTCGGGATCTTGGGCACACACACACGTGCGCCCGGTGTGAGTTTAAGCCACCGGGTCTGGGACTCAAACCGAGGTCAGCTACATTGGAGTCCAGTGAAGTAGCCATTATGCCATCTGCGGGTCCCAACAAAGACTTCATTTTAAAAAAAGCAATAATTAATATTTCACAGAACAAAATACTTCATTTTTGAGTGTTTCCAGGTAAAAACATTCATATGTGCTGATTTGGAGAAAACTTCATCACCAAATAAATAACAAGAAACCCTGGAGTGACATCTCTGGTTTTCAAGGCAGATTACTAGTTTTACCCCACAAAGAAGTTAATGCAAGCTTCTGGCCTTATCCTAGAGAACTGAAGGAAAGGAAATACAATCCCAATGTCTCACAGGGACACATGGAAGGTGAACTGTATCCATTATGAAACCCACTAACAGCTAGTAAGAACATATTTGTAGCTGCTGAAATAACCAAATGCCAAAGATAATGGAAAGGAAAGTTGTCAGCTATTGTAGTGGGTCATTAGAAACGTCATGTCATGGGACCAGTTAGCATAATGGCTATGTCGCTGGACTCCCACGTAGTCGACCACGGCTCGCGTCCAGGACCCTGTGACTTAAAACTCACGCTGGGTGCGTGTGCGCCCAAGATCCCGAGAAGAGAATGGAGAAGGGATTGCGGCGTGGCCATCCCCCCTGGGGGGTGATTTCCTGCTTTCTGTCCCTCTGTCTCTGTCTGTCTGGCGAGCGCACACGCCCTATAGCAAAAACCTCTCCAAAAAAAAAAAAAAAGTCATGTCATGTTTTTCTATGCAAAAATTTGTCATGACTTTTCTGACGACCCGACAAAACTGGGAATGAACACACAGGATTCTGCACTTGAATAACCTCTTCAAATAAGGGCAAGGATTTTTTAAAAATGTGCATATTTGACCAAAGATTAAATGGTTGGACATTGGGGCCAGTAGGTGGCATGATGATTAAGGTGTTGGACACCCCTGTGGTTCAAGCTCTGGACCTGGTAGCTTGAAATCACAACTGGTGCATGTGCATGCATGCTCAAGATCCAGAGAGGAGAATGGAGGAGAAAGGATTGCAGCATGGCTATTTCCCTGGCAGGGGGGTGGAGGGGGTGAGGGTTATTTCTCACTGTCTTTCTCTGTCGCTCTGTTGAGTGCACATGCCGTATGGCAAAAACCTTTTTTTAAAAACGTTGGACATTATAAACACAGACCAAATACTACTTTGATGATGGCTATGAAAATATTTAAGTCACTGGGGAGTATATCCTCAAATTCAAAGGTGGTGTTGACGGCTACATGACCTTAATGGAGACAGTTTTTGAAGACTTACAGGGTAAGAAGGACAGAAAAAAGACATCATGACTGGTACTCTCTAATTATCCTGAGTTGGACACTAGCACTCTGGAGTTAAAGAAATGAAGTTCAAGGAATTGTCTCCATTTTCAAGAAGTAAGGCCTTATGTTCTCATCCACCCACCCGTCCGAAAGAAAAATAATACTTAGTGAGCACCTACACAAGGCACTCCACGTGAAGCAACATGAAGCACCATTCACGTTGCTCACAATGTGGCAGGAAAATGAGACCAAACATCACATAATTGTTAGTCAGTGTGAGAAGGACCATTTTACATGTAAGGGCTTATGGAGACCCACAGAGGGAATGCCCAAGTTGGTAAGCATGGTGAGACAGTGGCGCTAACTTAGTCATCTGTGACTGAGACAGATAAATACAGAGGTGGTGGTTACACTGTGGGGCTTAAGGGGAGAGGCAAGCAGGTATATCTTCAAGCAGAAAGAAGTCAGCTATATTTTTGGAAAAGGGATTCATAGGAATAATTTTAAAATCTTTGAAGTTTATAAAAATAAAAGTTGAGTCAGAAATTTCTTGTAATTCTCACGAGCAAGATAGCCCTTCTAATTCCAGTTATTCACAACGTGATGTTTTAGGGACTCCCTCTGCTTATGTGGTTGCGACATGTCTTTGCACATCTCCCTAGTTAGAGAGTGGCGGGGTGGAGCTGACTTAAAATAGAGGGTAAAGGAAGGGAAGAGAGCAAAAAAATGAGGCTGGCAGAGTTTTAAATGATACCTTAACATGTAAAACTGTTGGCTAAGTTGGAGATAGTTTAAGATGGAAAAAGACTAGAGGGAGGAAAATGAACCCCAAATACCAGGTTCAACCAACTGCTGGACTCTCCTTCCCCATGTAACAAAGTTCCCCGTGTATAGCATAGGGAGAAAAGAAAAAGAAGAGGCTCCATGGTTCTCTTTAAAACAAGAATAAAGAGGAGCCAGCAAATACCTAGTGGTTAAGGCACTGCACTCCCACTTGGTCAACCGTGGTTCAAGTCCTGGACCCAGTAGCTTGAAACTCAATGCTGCGTAGGTGCAGGTGCATGCCCAATACCTCAAGAGGAAAATGGAGGTGAAGGGATTGCAGTGTGGCCACCCCCGCTGTGGGGGAGGAGGGTGATTTCTCACTTTCTGTCTCTTTCTGGT